TCCAGCCTGTTCCTCTCCTCTCCTCTCCTCTCCTCTCCTCTCCTTTCTCTCCTCTCCTCTCCTCTCCTCTCCTCTCCTCTCCTCTCAAGTCTCCTCCCCTCCTCCCCCTCCTCCCCTTCTGACTCCCTTTCTCATCTATCCAGTCCATCCTGCTTCCTTCCCAGCCTCTCTTCACCTGCCGCAAACACCTCCAACAGGTCATCACTGGACGGGAAATACGCTTGCCAGTCGTTCTGCTGCATCATCTGTTCGATCCCTCCTGTCTGCCCCAGTGACCAACCCTAGCATCTGCCCTGATCCCACCTGAGTAGACCCCGGTGATGCTGATGGGCCTGAGCTTGACATCGAACAAGAACCCTCGCACGCGCACGTCGGCGTCTCCCCGAGACTGGAACTGGATGTGACGGGAGCGAGGAGCTAGGGAGAACCTCCAGGACATCTGCCCGAAGTCAAGTCAGGGAAGAAGAGCCAGGAAGGGAGGGAGTAAGGAGCTAGGGAGCAAGAGGAGGAGGGAGGAAAGAGGAGGAGGGAGGAAGAGGAGGAGGGAGGAGTGTAAGAGTGCAAACGAGGATCTATGTCGTAGCATGAGAACAGAAGGTCAAGCTACAAGGGACATGTGATAATTACAGAAATCGTCAGGTTGTAGCCATCAACAGTATTCGACGCAAGAAACATCATCGTCACAGCCTCGCTCCCATCGTTCCCCCTACTGATCTGCAAGTTTTTCTGCGGCCTGACGTACTCCATCATGATCGACCTGCTCCAGTACACCAGAGGTCTCAGCGGACGAGCTAGCAGGCTGCTCTTTCCCGCGAAATTCCCTTCACCCGAGGAGTCGGAAAAGATGCTGCAAGACGCCAAAGTCAAAAACAAAAAGAGGATAACGGGACGAGGAGAATGGGGAGGAGGACGAGGAGAGGACGAGGACCAAGACGAAGAGGACGACGAGGACAAGGACAAGGAAGAGGACCAAGACGAAGAGGACGACAAAGACGAGGACGAGGACGAGGGGGACGATGAACAGCGCGGAAGAGGAGGAAGAGGGAGGAGCCCCAACCTCAGTAGGCCGAAGTTCTGATGGTCAGAATCATGATGTCCCGTCGACACAGAAAATTTCACGAAGCCGTTGCTGATAGTGGCCGACGAAGACTCTTGTGACAGCTCCACCCTCACAGTAGAAGCCGAAGCCATGCTGACTGCGTTCAGCGCAACAGCGACGACGACGAAAATGTTCATTACTCTGTCTACTCAGGTATCGATCGCAGTTGTAAGTCAAACCAGTTTCTTGGGGACACGAGAGGAATCGGCAGAAGATCACATGGAGGGATCAAGGAAGGACATGCTTGTCCTGCATGCTCTTGTCAACTATATCTCCTGCTCTCCTCATCATCACAAGAAACCATTCTCGCTTCCCGTCTGCCCGACTGGTCTCTTCTCCTCGACCTGCTGCCTTCTTCGTAAGGATACAATCCTACTACTTAAAAACTACTGCCCCAATGAGGTGAGCCTGGTCTCCTGCCCCGGCCCCCACCGGGGCCCGGAGACTTCAGTGCCGACGTCACTCAGCGTTATCGGGAGATGCGGAGGAGGAGGACAGTGAAGAACAACATTGACGACTGAACTTTGAGCCACATGGAGAAAGAAACGCTGAAGAAGTCTAATATACATAGAAGAGGCTATCTACAGTGATGAGAGGTAAAGTATGAAAGCTTCGAACTCGTCGAGGCTGATATTCCCATCTCTGTCGCTATCGACTTCCGAGATCACATCTCGCAGCTCGAGGTTGCTCAGCTGAACGCCGAACTGCAGGCTGAGCAGCTCTCTCAGGGCCTCGTACGTCATGCTGTGATGTAAGGAGACGCTTCCTCTAAGGAAGATAGAACGGATCTTCTCCTGTACCTCCTCCTTAGACAGGGCGAGGAACGGTGACCTGACTTGCTTTGCGAGAGTGAGCAGGTACCTGGAACAATATCATCATCCCCCTTGCAACACACCGTAGCAACATCCGTACTGCTTGCGCATGATCTCAACCCTCTGCCGCGGCCAGCCGAGGGTGACAACGAAGTAGGAGGGCCGGTCGATGCGCGTGCAGAGGACGCCGAGGAACTTGTCGTTTAGGAAGATCTCGCATGTCTCCTTGTCCATGTCCACTAGGACGGACACACGATCATAGGCCTTCACCTTGATATGCAGGAACGCCTGCCTCTCTCCTCCCTCTAGTTTGCTGCCGTCCTGCAGCGCGAGAAGTTTTGAGCTCTCGTCGAGAAGAGCTGTTGGAGGCTTCAGGAGGGCGATTGGGTGGCAAGTGAGGAGAAGGAATAAGGAAGGGGACGAGAGGAGAGAGCAGGAGAGATGGGAAAGCAGGAGCAGGAGCAGGAGCAGGAGCAGGAGCAGGAGCAGGAGCAGGAGCAGGATACGAAAGCAACATTTACCGCTCCATTCTCCCGTGCTGTTGACAATCGGCGAGCAGATGCCGACGTACATGTAGGGGACCTGACCGATGTTCTGGAGCTGTAGGTCCACATAGGAGACTCCTGAGGATGCGATGGGAGGGTCGAGGAGGACGCTCTCCCCCCCCGACCCAGCGCAGGTGATCCTGGTCCCGTCCTCCTCCACGAGGACTGAGGGGGAGCAGCTCTTACTGTTGAAGAAGTACTGTTTCCTGATGATCTTCAGGACCTTCATGTCTCTCACTAGCTGCGACGTGATGGGGTCGCGCAACGAGGCTCTCTGTCCCGTGACTGCGCACCTGCTCCTGCCCGTCATGGCGGCAAGGGAGGACGCGGCGTCCTCCCCCTCCACCCTTGAGAGGTTGATAGAGGAGACGAACTCGTCGTAGACATACTTGTCGAGGAACTGCAAAGCGACTTGCTTCCTGCCTTGCACGAGGTACTTCTTGAACCCAACGATCGCATCCACTGTCTGCCTGATGGTCCGTCCTCCCTCCACGTTGTCCACCGTGGGGAGGGGGCGGCAGTGGGGAGCTCGCCAGAGGACGACCCCCTCCTTGTACTTGAGGAAGGTGTGCAGCCAGCTTACGACTCGCCGAGAGGACTGGAGGGAGGTGATGTTGGGGAGCGGAGGCATGCAGCGGGACTCCTCAAAGTTAGTGAAGATCTCTTCGTCATCGTCCTCCTCGGGGCAAGAGGAGGAAGCAGGAGGCTGCTGCTTCTTCCTGCCGCCCTTCTCCCTCCTCCCATCGAAGAATATTCCCGCCTTGTCCTCAAGCACAGCAAAGAGGAGGTCCTCAAACTCGAACACGTCTAGCTTGCAGTTCCCATCGTCCACCTCCTGAAGCCTCTCCGACAGCTCCTCCCTTGAGATCTCAACCCCGAACTTGGTGAAAGCCTCCAGCAGCTCCTCCTCATCTATGAAACCCGACCCGTCCCGATCCACGTAGTTGAACAGCTCCCGCATCCTGGCTATCATAGCCCTCTCGTCCAAGTTCTTCAGCCCGAGACGGTCGACGATCCTGCTCATTGCCTTCTGCTTCTTCAGAGTCGTCAGGTCGCCTGCACGCACAGCCATCATGCCCAGCAGCCCTCCCAACAGAACTCACCAATGAGGCACGGGAGAATCTCCCTCGTCCTCCCCCGATCGTACAGCTCTAGCACAAGTTCCCACTCCATTAGCAGCTCGTCTTGCTTCGAGCTCCAGACGTACTTCTTCATGTCGAATTCTCTTCCTGTGAACGTCTCTCGCGTTATCAGCAGCACGACGACGAGTGAGTTCGCAAGAGCTTTCAGATATTTCCTGTCCCAGTCTCTCCCATGCCTGTCCTCCCGCTCCCCCAGGCATCGGGGCACGTGAAACACTCGGAGCCCCTTCCTCTGCTCTTTGGCATCAGAACAAACAAGAGAGGAAACTCTCCTCCTCTCATTACCGTCAGCTCTTCATATATCCGTTCTGCGATCTCCTCCTCTTTGTTGTATCCTGTCCTGCGACAGGAGTTCATAACTTGCAGCAGGAAATCTCACCAACACCTTCGAAAGCTAAGAAAGATATCCCACTCGTAGGTTCCGCTAGGGGCATCCATCCTGTGCGCTCTGGCCTTTTAAATCATCGAGGCTGTTGATAAGATCGTCGCCTTTACAAGGCGGGCAGGGGAACCAATTCCTCCTGCATGAAATTTTCACACCATGCTGTTGATGTATCAATCCTCCTCTCCTCCTCTCTCCTCCTCACTCCTCCTCTCTCCTCCTCTCTCCTCCTCTCTCCTCCTCTCTCCTCCTCTCCTTCTTTCCATGCATGTCTAGCCCCATCGATCCGTCAGTCGGTCCTCTTCCTGTTATGCTCACTTCCTTTTACAAGATTCTTTTTTCAAACGCGAGGGTACCCGCTCACAATCACCGGTAGTATTTTCAAATAGGTGGTGGGGGGTACATGAAACCCTTAAAAGTACCACTCATAAAGAGCAATTTTGTTTGTTAAATTGTAGGGTGGATACTTTTTCAAGGGGGTCATCTTCGGATTGCGTTCAGCCCCAATGCGCCCCTGGTCATGATGTCAAGGTACTTCAGTTGTGCGACGTAGGGTGGGGTGGTGAGGTGTTGAGAAAGAGCATGCACAGGATGACACGGCCGGGGGGGAGGGAAGGGAAGGAGGGAGGAGGGAGGGAGGGAGGGAGGGAGGATCGGAGGGAGAGCCGTGAGGAAAGGAAGAGGATCGAGTAGATAGTTAACATGGCTCGAAGATCCCATGAGGGAACGAAGAAGGGGGGGGCACGGCGGCCATGACAAACATGTGGTTCGAATTTGAGCAAGGAGAGGATTTGTTGTGATGTAGCAATGAAAATTTGTGATAGTGATGGAGAAATCGTTGCTGATGATAGAGAGTTTCGGAAGGCTTTTTCCCGGGTTGAGGAGTTTTGGGTGAACATACCTGACTATGATCCTCGGTTTCTTCAGGACGAAAAATGGTGGAGACTATGTTGGCCATGTCGAAGAAGGCGCGCACCCTGCGGAAGAAGCTGAGGCAGATAGAGACATTGAAGGTCATGAAGCAGAGTGGGCAGAGGCTGCTAGAGGAGCAGGAGATCAAAATCGCGTCTGAAGAAGAGTTCCGAAGAAACCTGTTCGAGCTTGAATCGATCCTCAATGCTGAGGATGGGGAGTCTCCCGATGAAGACAGCTCGCAAGCTCACAGAGAAGTCCATGAAGATGCTGGCGTCTCGCTCCCGACAGAAGACGCTCCTCAGGAAGAGGACGCTGATACTGCGGAAGAACACGCTTTCAACGCAGACTCTTTTGATCCCGGGGAACAGGAGGGGAACGATGACGATGGATGGGTAGTGAAGGGAAGAGGAAGGAAGCAAGTCCCCTCCATGAAGAAACATTTCTCTGCCAGGATCGAAGTCTCGAGGATTCAGAGGTTGGGTCAGCTCTTGCAAGGTTTGCGAAATACTTCCTTTCTTGGGTCAACCTACTGATATTTTCGTACAGAATCTCAGGAGGAGGCGAAGGGGGAGGAGGAGGCAGAGCAGACAAGCTCGCAGGATGTGAAACACGTCGTTGAAGCGAGCAAGGCGAAAGAGGAGAAGAGAAAGTCGGCCGAAGACGAGGAGGAGGAGAGAGTTGCGGAGGTGCGCAGGAGGGCATTGGACCAGGTCCGGAAGGGGTGGAAGGAGGGGTACCTGAGGCAAACTTCGATTGAAGCGCATAGAAACGCTGTGTCTAGCGTGTTTGTCACCAAAGACAAGCTGCTGTCTGGAGGTATGTCGGCGAGTTGGGAGGCGGCAAGGGATGAGGGGAGGAGAGAGGAGGGAAGGGGAAGAGTGGGAGGAAGAAGTATGGGAAAGCAATGTGAGGAGAGGGGTAGAGGAAAAGGTGAAGGTAAATCTTTGCTGCCTCAGGATTCGATGGAGCCTTCAAGGTGTGGGAACTTGCCAGCGGGACGCTGCTGAAGACCCTGGGCGGCCACACGAGTGAGAAGAAGATGACAAGGAGGAGAAAAAAGCGGAGGAGAGAGGGGATGAAAGAGGAAGGAGGGAGGGAGGGAGGGAGGGAGGGAGGGAGGGAGGGAGGGAGGAGGAGGAGGAGGAGGAGGAGGAGGAGAAAAGGGAATCTGGTTGTGCGTCTAGAGGGCAGCAGCTAAGGGTTTGACAGGTGTCGTGAGGTCAGTGGCCGGGGATGACAAGGAGCTTTACAGCGTGAGAGGTCAAACTAAGGAGGAAAAAGACTTTGACAACTCTACAGGCGTCCGACGACTGCATGCTCATCGTATGGGATGCTGCGTCAGGAAAGATGTTGAGGTGCTTCTGCTTCCAACCCCCCTCCCCCCCTTCTCGCTCACCCTCTTAGAACCCCCCTCCCCCCTTCTCGCTCACCCTCATAGAACCCCCTTCGCACCCTCCAATTGTTTCTCTCCGCTACTTCTAGTCCTCCTCCCTCTTTGGGTTTGTCCTCTAAACTCTTTCCCCTCCTTCTTCCTGCGTTTCTTGCTCCTTCCTCCTTTTCCGTCTTTTCTCTGACCTTTGTGCCCACCTCACTGTCACTCCTCCTCCCCTCCCCTCTCTCTCTCCTCCCCTCTTCCAGGAGCATAAATTGTTTCGCTCCCATCCGCGCGATGAAAGTTTCCTTCTCCAAGTCCCTGATCGTCACTGGGCATTCAGACAAGACCGTCAGACTTTACAAGGTCCCTCCACTCCTCCTCCCCCTCCGTTCTTACTTGCTTCCCTCCCCTCCTCCCCTCTCCCTCCCTTCCTTCTTTTCCCTTCACACTTCCTCCTCCTCTCCCTCGGAATTCCTTCATCTCTCTTCTACATTCACTCCCCTTTTTCTGTAATGCCTTCTCCTGCTCCTCCTGCTCCATCACTCCGTCCCTCGTATCTTCATCTTGCACACACCCCGCCCCCCCAATTCTTGCTCCTCTCCTCCTCCTCCCTCTCGCCCTGAAGACTCCACAGGCTGGCAGCGAGGGGACGGTGAACGCCATGCATACATTCAGGGCGCACGAGGGTCGCATCCTCAGCCTAGAGCTCTGCAGAGACGCTCAGATCCTGATCAGCACCGACGAAAGGGGAGGTGAGGAGAGGCGAGCGAGGAGAGGGGGAGGATGCGACGGAAGGAGAGGAGGAGAGAGAGTTCTCGAGGAGGGTGGGTGTAGGGAAGAGGTGGAAGGAAGAGGAGAGAGGAGGATCAGCTGTACAGAGGAGGTGAGACTTCTGTCATCAGCTGCGATCGTGTGGGACTTGGAGAGCAAGACGAAACTTTACTCGTGCGAGAGATCGCAGGAGAACCTCGTGCGTAACTTCCCTCCCTCTGCTCCCTCTCCCTCCGTCTCCCTCCCTCTGCTCCCTCTCACTTCCTTCCCTTCCTCACCCTTTTTTCCTACCCCGTCTCCTTCCTCTCTTCTCTGGCTTCCCTGTCCTGCCTCCCCCCATCTCCCTCTGTTGCTACCGTCCCCTCCCTTCTCGACTGCAGGGATCGTCGCGCGCAGTAAAGACGGCGACACGGTGACTCGCTGACCTTCGATGA